ATCTGGAGCATTAGGATGTATAATTCATGTTGCTTTCATTTGCTCAGACCATTGCAAAAATCCATAAATCATTTTCTTGCTCATGTTTTGCTTAAGTGCAATTTGTCATTTTGCATTAGAGGCCTGCCTCAGCCCATCTAGTGCTTTTAATTCGCTGTTTAGAGTTTAACAAAATAGTGGCCCTGTTGGATGAATGGAAAGGTGCTGCAATGTGAAGCCATACCTACACTTACTAGGTTAAAAAAGCAAAACTGTACATTTCTATTTTGAGTATCAAGATAGTAGAATTTAGTGAAATATCTGGCATTCCCAGCCCCTGAAATAAGGACTAACTGGCTTATTCTCAGTTGGGTTCAAAGCCTTACACAGTTAGTAGTCCCTCAAATACCTCCAGTAGTAGTATACAATAAAAATCACTTCCAAAACTCAAATCCACACCATCCCTTTGCTAAAATGTATATGGAGCTATCTTGTATCAATGGGCTTAGCTCCAAAGACTTCCTTGGCTTCCACTTAAGTTGTGTTTAGCTACTGCATAAGAACCAACTTCTTGGTTTTCTGAAAAACGTGCCACTATACCAGATCCTTGGCATTTATACTGTGGGTTTGACTTCTTAGGAGTGGTAAATGCAGGGAGCCATCCTGGTGCTATATAATATTTAAAACCATCCTTAATGATGCATTTAAAACAGTGCCTTCCAGTTCTTACAAAATAACAGAACCTCGGTTATTTTTTTGTTGTTGTTTTGTTTTTTCCCCCTCGAAGTTCTGAGCACAGTGCAATAATAAGAACAGATTGCTTTGGAGTCATGTTACATCACAGTAAAGGCTCATTTATCTAAAAGCTAGTTAAGAAACCTCTCTCCTGCCCTCTCCAACAAGAGGTAGGAGAAAAGAAAGCAAGCCTGTTATTTAGTTACTATGCTCGTGGAGATCCTTGGTGCCCTCTTATTTCTGCCTCTCTTAAACATCTTCGATATACATACATACATACATACACTATTCATTGTTATATTCACACATAAACCAAGATTTTAATGAAAACTGATTTTTATACTCTCCTTCCAAATGATTATTAACCACCCCCCATCCTGGCACGAAGTTTGTTGTGGCACAGACAGCTGGCACTCCTTGGGTGCAGAGGCCGAGGGAGGAAGATTGCAAAATTGCATGCACATGTTTGCTTCTCCGACAGCACAGCAGTAAAGCAGAGCCCAGGGACAAAATACACTCACTGCTCTGTACTTCAGAGAAGCTACGCCATCTCTCAGACTGCTGTGTCTATAACTGTGACTTCACTAAGTATTGAGACAAAATAGGATAAAAAAAAAAAAAAGAATTAGGGAAGGTATAGGGGCAGGTTATGTCCTTAATTGCTACAAAGACAGAAAACATACATGATAGGCTCAAAAGGCAGTTCTGAAAGGAAAATTTTAGGTACTGTTTTTATTTCAGGATCAGAGGTATGGTTTTTTTCAAAGACCTTACTATAATGAATGCCCACCTGCAAATGTTGAATGCGAAAAAACTGCTCTTGCAATCTTCATTCGATGGAGTTTTCTCAGAGTAAGCAGAGGCCCTGGATCGCTTTTATTTAACTAGGGAGACTCTACTGTCACCCCTACAGTCCAAGAGCTGGCGCCTCAGAGACTAAAAGTCCAGGAGGTCAGACCTGTGGAGGAGCCTGGCTTTGCTTTGCTGGCCTGGACTCCAGCCTCTGTGACCTGCGAAATCCAGCAGAGCCCCCAACAGGCAATCCCTACCAAAAGCCAGCTCCTCAACAAAATTATCTCGCATGCTGTATGCTGCTTTCGCCGCTAGGAGACGCCTGTAACCCACGTTTCTTGAGAAGGTCCCCAGCACAGCTGCCACCAAAAAAAAAAAAGAAAAAAAAAAAAGCAGCTCAAGTGTTACAGGGGATGCACTGATTATTTACAGGGAAATGTGGCCATCTCTCCGTGTTCTCATCTTCACCTCGGGAAGCTCGCTGGCTTTCTGCAAATGCCCTAAATTAGCTCAAACTTCAAGCTCCTTTCAGAGATATAAACCCGCTCCCCCAAAACATTTGCTTTTGCACTGTCATTCAGCAGCATGTCTCTGACACATAAACCTGCGCGCACACACACAAACGCACACACAAGTGTTCCATTAATACAAACAAACATATTAAAGCATTACTGTCGTATTTAACGCATTTTACAAGGTTTCTGATGAATCAGCTTGGGGAGCTAGAAAAAAATTGAATTTTAACGCTGTAGATGTGAAGGAAGGAGGAGGGGCAGAAAGCACAGATGGCCACAGTGTATTAATATTCGGATACGCTACAAGCCCCTTTTCATTGATCCACAGGTCCTTTTTCTGCTCTACCGCTCCATTCTCCGCCGCAGATGTGACGCTTAAATCATTTTAAACTGCAGCGGTTTGAGCTTGGGTTTGGCGGATGGTCAATTCACTGCAGCTGGAAAAGGCTTAGCCATGTTTGCTGGCTCCTTTTCCGATACCCGCTTAAAGGTAGAACCCATCTCTCTGCAAGAGCCTCTAGGGATAGGGCTGTTATGGACTTTCCACGCTGCTCAGAGCATGCCTTGGTTTCAATCACGCGTGGGGACGCGCACTCCTATTTCCTCGCCCGAGGCACTGTAACATACCTTGGGGGGTGAACAAGGAACCTTCACTCGGGTTCCAGTGGCTTTACTCTTGGGTCTTTGACTACCAGGAAGCCTCTAGAGTGTCAGTCTAGTTTTTGGCTTAAGGGGCTGGACTGGAAAATAAACAAGCAATTCCTTGTGACAGCGTGTTGATTAGTATCAAAACATATACTTTGATGTTTATCCTTGGATAACCGGCATTAAACGCACTCTCCAGCACCTGAGAGTTCTTTTGCACTGCCTTGTAACTTCATCAGAACTGGGTATGTGGATGCACCTCGGAGTGGGCACCAGCGGATAGTCAAGCATGCCACTCAGAATCCTGGGGTTGCTCCCCGGGGACTAGCACCGAGCTGAGCTTAAGGCCAGCGAGAACCAGAGCCAGTACCAGGAATGTGCAAACGTGTCCGTGGATTCCCGCAGCGGTGGTGCACACTCCATGCCCCAGTGCCTGTGCACCTCAGGACTCACCGCTCCTCTCGCTCTCGGGGCCACCCTGTAGTCATTCTCCAGAGAGCTGTCCCCAGGCTGGGCATGGACCCTCCCTACCCCCTCTAGTATAGAGGCGGTGATGGATCACCAATAGTAAAAGGAAAATAAATAATGAAAATAGTAATCAGGCAAATAAAATAAAAGCCCGCGCTCCCCATCGCTGCCTGGCAGGAGGCCAAGCGAGGCGCAGGGATATTGCTAGCGCCTCTCAGCAATGGGTGGTGCTGGTACCGGTGCCCTAGAGTAGGGTTTGACTATGGCGGGCTCCTATGCAAAGGCTACAAAGAAGCCCCCACTCCTTGTCTAGGGTACTCACAGTTCGAAGCAACGTTCCCAAACGAGTTAATCTACTAGGTAAGCAATTTGTGGGTAGACTTTAGGTGGATAAACGTCCAATCATCTACCCGTCTATAGGAGCTGTCACCCCATGTCCCTTAGTCTGAATCCCTCCGCTTTGCGGTGGGGGGGACTTCACCTCCGCACTCCCATTTCAGCCTCCTTTATCCTCCCCACACAACCCCTAAGAACCCTCTTGCTCTAATTGACACATGCCATTTCATAACTGCATTTAAATTGTCCGCGCACATCTCAGCCAGAGTCCCTTCATTAGGCGACCCCGGCTGACTTTGGCCCCAGGGCAACTTTCCCCCCTTCGTGGTGATTTCTTTCCACGAGCTGCAGCAGGGAAAACACCTTAAAGGAAAAAGAATGTTAGCGTCACTGGAAACCCCGCTCCTTGGAGAGGTTACCGCCGCTGTTGCTATTATGTTTTCGTATTTGCTGATGCAAACAGGGGAACCTCTCTTATTCCCTGCCCATTACCTGCGGCTGGGGACTGGGAACTTTCCGCGGCAGAGTCCCCTGCAAGCGCCTCGGGACCTGCGGGCTGTTCTCGCTCTCACACTCACACTCAGCCTAGGCGAGAGTTCTGCCCCGCCCATCCTGGCTGCCCTGTGACGTATGTACTTGACGGCCACTTTTGCCAATGAGCAGTCGCTCAGTGGGTGGTGCTCCTCAGCGATTGGTTGGCAGAATGAGGGCGCTGCGCAAAAACAGAGAAGCCGAGCGCTCCGAGCTCAGAAACTGCCAGCCGAGATCACAGGCTTTGAGGCTGAAGCCGGAGGCAGGATGGACTGAAAGGAAAAGAGGCAGGTTAGAGGGGAGAGGCTCGGGAAGGAAACAGCAGAAAAGAAATCGCTCGCTGTGTTTACAGCAAAGCAAGGGACGGTTGGGTTGAGGACAGAAACAAGACTGTGAAAGCCAAGAAATGCAAATAGAGCCAAAGAGGGGAGAAAATGTCAAGAGGAACGTTCATCCGGAGAAATGAAGAGAATGAAAGTTTTATGCTGCAAAACGACTCCGTGTTTTACGGGCAGCAAATTCTCTCGCTGTCTTTAAGCCCGCTCGCGTTTGCAAGCCATTGACATCAAGAGGCATGTTCAGCGGTGCCGGCAGCATCTCCTCTTCCTTCTCTTCTTCATTTTCCTCCTCCTCTTCTTCTTCCTCCTTCACGTTTTTCTCCTATCAGAAAGAAGACAAACCTAGGACAGTCTTGAAATATCGAAATTGCCTCCTTGGGATTTGCCAGCGCCGCGTTGCGCCAAGACTGTCGGAATAAAGGAGGCTGACTATTGTATTATCGTTATTTTATTAATTGGTCAGTAGGAAGATTACATCTGAGCAGAAGGGACATCTGTCACCCTTTCTGCGTTAAGATTGAAAAAATGAGGCTGGGTTTGGGGAAGCTCTAAAATGAAGTAAAAGGAATAAAACATTAAGGCAGCCACAGAAGCCCCCCTCCCACGTAGCACACTATTTTATTTATATTTTTGAGATTATTATTTTTTTATTTTATTTTTTATTTTTGCTGGTGGGGAGGTAATCGGGTGGCTGGCTACTGGGGGAGCGGCTTCCTTTCCTTTGGAGATGATTGTGCTGTTATTCTTTGCCTTGCTCTGGATGGTGGACGGAGTCTTTTCCCAGCTTCATTATACAGTGCAGGAGGAGCAGGAACATGGCACTTTCGTGGGGAATATCGCCGAAGATCTGGGCTTGGACATTACAAAACTTTCAGCTCGCAGGTTTCAGACTGTGGCCAACTCACGGACCCCTTACTTGGACCTCAATCTGGAGACCGGGGTTCTGTATGTAAATGAAAAGATCGACCGTGAGCAGATCTGCAAGCAGAGCCCCTCTTGTGTCCTGCACCTGGAGGTCTTTCTGGAGAATCCGCTGGAGCTGTTCCGAGTGGAAATCGAAGTGCTGGACATCAATGACAACCCTCCCTCCTTCCCAGAGCCGGACCTGACAGTGGAGATCTCAGAAAGCGCCACGCCAGGAACCCGTTTTCCCTTGGAGAGCGCCTTTGACCCAGACGTGGGGACCAACTCATTGAGAGACTATGAGATAACCCCGAATAGCTATTTCTCCCTAGACGTGCAGACCCAAGGAGATGGTAACCGTTTCGCTGAGCTGGTGCTGGAGAAACCACTGGACCGAGAACAGCAAGCGGTGCACCGCTACGTGCTGACCGCGGTGGACGGAGGAGGAGGGGGAGGAGGGGAAGGAGGGGGAGGCGGTGGGGGAGCCGGCCTGCCCCCTCAACAACAGCGCACTGGCACGGCCTTGCTCACCATCCGAGTGCTCGACTCCAACGACAATGTGCCCGCTTTCGACCAACCAGTCTACACTGTTTCCCTACCAGAGAATTCACCCCCTGGCACCCTAGTGATCCAGCTCAATGCCACCGACCCCGATGAAGGCCAGAACGGCGAGGTCGTGTACTCATTTAGCAGTCACATTTCGCCCAGGGCTCGAGAGCTGTTTGGACTTTCTCCTCGCACCGGCCGGCTGGAGGTGAGCGGAGAGCTGGACTATGAAGAGAGCCCAGTATACCAGGTGTATGTCCAAGCCAAGGACTTGGGTCCCAATGCTGTGCCTGCACACTGCAAGGTGCTGGTGAGAGTGCTGGATGCCAACGACAACGCACCGGAGATCAGCTTCAGCACTGTGAAAGAGGCGGTGAGCGAGGGTGCCGCCCCTGGCACGGTGGTGGCTCTGTTCAGCGTGACCGATCGAGACTCAGAGGAGAATGGGCAGGTGCAGTGTGAGCTGCTGGGAGATGTGCCATTCCGCCTCAAGTCTTCCTTCAAGAATTACTACACCATCGTGACCGAAGCCCCTTTGGACCGAGAGGCTGGAGATTCCTACACCCTGACAGTGGTGGCCCGCGACCAGGGCGAACCTGCACTCTCCACCAGTAAGTCGATCCAGGTTCAAGTGTCAGATGTGAACGACAATGCGCCTCGCTTCAGCCAGCCAGTCTACGACGTGTATGTGACAGAAAACAACGTGCCAGGTGCCTACATTTACGCGGTGAGCGCCACAGACCGCGACGAAGGGGCCAATGCCAAATTAACCTACTCTATCCTGGAGTGCCAGATCCAGGGCATGAGTGTCTTCACCTATGTGTCCATCAACTCAGACAACGGCTACTTGTACGCCCTGAGATCCTTCGACTATGAGCAGATCAAGGACTTCAGTTTTCAAGTGGAAGCCCGGGACGCAGGCAGCCCCCAGTCGCTGGCAGGCAACGCCACCGTCAACATCCTGATTGTGGATCAGAATGACAACGCCCCCGCCATCGTGGCGCCCCTGCCAGGACGCAACGGGACTCCAGCCCGCGAGGTACTGCCTCGCTCTGCCGAGCCGGGCTACCTACTTACTCGCGTGGCCGCAGTGGACGCAGACGACGGCGAGAACGCCAGGCTCACCTACAGCATCGTGAGGGGCAACGAAATGAACCTATTCCGCCTGGACTGGCGCACGGGAGAGCTCCGCACCGCGCGCCGTGTCCCAGCCAAGCGCGACCCCCAGCGGCCTTATGAGCTGGTGATCGAAGTGCGCGACCATGGGCAGCCACCCCTGTCCTCCACGGCCACCCTGATTGTTCAGCTGGTGGATGGAGCCGTGGAGCCCCAGGGCGGGGGCGGGGGCGGAAGTGGAGGGCCCGGGGAGCACCAGCGCCCCAGCCGCTCTGGTGGAGGGGAAACTTCATTGGACCTCACACTTATCCTCATCATCGCGCTGGGCTCAGTGTCCTTCATCTTTCTGCTGGCCATGATCGTGTTGGCGGTGCGCTGTCAAAAGGAGAAAAAACTCAACATCTACACCTGTCTAGCTAGTGATTGCTGCCTCTGCTGCTGCTGCTGTGGCAGTGGGGGCTCCACCTGCTGTGGCCGCCAAGCCCGAGCGCGCAAGAAGAAACTCAGCAAGTCAGACATCATGTTGGTGCAGAGCGCCAATGTCCCTAGCAACCCGGCCCAGGTGCCTGTGGAAGAGTCCGGGAGCTTTGGTTCCCACCACCACAACCAGAACTATTGCTATCAGGTCTGCCTCACCCCAGAGTCAGCCAAGACTGACTTGATGTTCCTGAAGCCCTGCAGCCCATCACGGAGTACAGATGCTGAGCATAATCCCTGTGGAGCCATCGTCACCGGTTACAGCGACCAGCAACCAGACATCATTTCCAACGGAAGCATTTTGTCCAACGAGGTAAGGCTGAAGCGAAAGAACCATCATCTCTCATCTCCTCCATCAGAAAGCCTCCTCTAGCCTGGCCCTCTATTTCTTACAGTGCACTGTATGTTTAGAGTGTTAGCTGGTTTGTATGGCTGTGGGAAGGCGAGAATATGGGGTCACCTTTTCTCACCTCATGAAGTGTTACTTAACTTCCTTGTTGTTCCTGACTGAGCTCCACCCCTTTGATTTTATTTGCATTCCCTCCCCTTTTCCTCCCCCTTTGTTTCTTTAACACCTCCAAGTTCACTCTGCAACCCCCCCCCACGCCATATTTAAGTCCCTGCTTTCCTTGAAACCTGGGGGACTTAAGAGAAAAATCTTGAAGAGAGAAGTAGGGGTGGGGGAGGGGTTTCCTATCACTGACAAAGGTCTTTTTCTCTGCATCTGTCCCAGGCATTAATAAAATTGGTTCAATATTGTTTTTCTTTTTCGCTGCTTTCAGTCGCGTATACAAGTGAGCTATAGATTGTTTAACTTTATATGATTGCCTAAACTGGATTGCATGTTTTAGTGACCCGTTCCTTCTCTGAAAGAAAAAAAAAAAAAAAAAAAAAGCCATCACAGCTCTGGACAGCTTTAACACAAGCTCTTGAAGCCTAATGCCCACTCAGTGTGAATTTGAATGAAGTTCCTTTGGCACCGAACCCTGTAAGAGTAAACCAACTGAAAGATTGAACAATTGTTTTTACAAACAATTAACTCCTTGGCACTGTTGTTTTGTTTTGTTTTTGTGAGGAATTCCCACTGTTGATTTTCTTCAAAGAATTTGACTTGTCATTTCCCATTTCTTTTTAAAAGGTAGAGACATAGTGGCAAAGTTGGAGGGTGGAAATGTCCATGTAAAACAAAGTTTGAACTGAGGTGTGTGGGCTGTGTGGAGCTTGCAGAGGGCTTCCTGAGGGGAAGGTGGGGGAAGATTTATGACAGTCTTTCTTGGCATCTCCTTATTTTGAGTCTCAGATATAATTCAATGACTTTCACGAATATTTGTAAAGCTCATTTGTATCTTAAGTACCTCTTGAAAATAAACAAAAAATAATTCGAGAAAATATCCAAACTTTTGCTTATTGAGCGTGCTGTTTTTCTTGTGTCCATCAGTATGCACTTAAACACCCTGTAGACTGTGGAAGAAGAAGACACAGAATTCAACTTGGATAATTCTGTGGTAGATACAACAGTTTTTCAAGCCTAGCTATGAGGTTGTTTGCATTCTCCCTTTAAAGCAAGACACATTTACTGTGCACCAGCAAGTTTGTGTTTTCTTTTGTAAACCTTTATAAACAGCTGAATTCAAGAAATCTAGATTCAAATGTCTCAACACATTTCTCCTGCTCTTACCCAGCAATCACCATGTTGTGGTCCTATGAAAGCCTAAAAACTCATTCAAATATACAGTGTTTAAATCCAATAGAGTTCTTATTCTCAAAATCAAAATGAGTATTACAGCCTCTGAATTTTAGTGTTCTTTGTTTATTTTATATTTTTCCCCCCAGACTAAACACCAGCGAGCAGAGCTCAGCTATCTAGTTGACAGACCTCGACGAGTCAACAGGTATGAACTCTTTGCAATCCTTTGCTTGGTGTGTGAACCAATTCCTACCTAGTAAAAGTAGGGAGTCTGTGTCTTGTTTCATATTAAAAGACACATTGTATAAAGAGTTTGATCTAGGGCAGAGCATAAGTAGTGTATATAATTTATTTATCCTGTATATTTATTTATTTATCCTATATATAGATATATAATCTGTTTCCATTTATATAACATTACAAAATATTTTGCCAGTATCCATGACTTTTCCATATATGTGTTCATTTATATCCTGATTATGTTTTAGACATGTACTTAGTTCCAGTCATGGAATAATGTCCAACTTTAAACTTGATGTTCCAATTGACTGTGAAGGCTCTGAGATTTAAGTGAGAAAAAAATGAGCTTCACGTGTAAATAGACGTACAGAAAAATTCTGAGTCTGCAGCACACATCTGTGACCATGTGGTGGCAGAAGAATGTTTTCTGTGTTTCTTTACCTTTCTTTTCTTTTTTTTTTCTTAAATATTCTAACATTCTTCTTTTGTGTTTCTAGTTCTGCATTCCAGGAAGCTGACATTGTAAGCTCTAAGGACAGTGGTCATGGAGACAGCGAACAGGGAGACAGTGATCATGATGTCACCAATCGTGGTCAGTCAGCTGGTAAGTTTGATCAAACAGCCGTCTAAATGCCCACTCTGTAGCTGTTTATTTAAATGCATCTCCAAAGGATGATTGCTTAGGTAATGATCTGTCTTCTAGCGATCATTGTATCATTAAAAGAAGACTTTGAAAAGTGTTACTTTTCACTTTGGGGTGTTTAGGATAGGAATTACTTATGATTATCAAGAATTCCTTCCTTGTCAAATGTTGTTTTTAATAGGATTACATCACGTAGAGGTATTCACCTATCTCTTGACTAGTCCTATTCCCTATTTTCAAACACTTGGGGTATTATTAAGTTTATTTATAAAGGAGGTTACTGAGGTAAATTAACTTATTGAGTATTACAAGGGCAAGAAAATATAAATGCATGACTGAGCCCTAGAATCCAAACACCTTGCTTCCCAGAGAACTGCAATTTACATACCAAGTATCACAGGAGAAGGAATGATGTTTAAAAGTCACAAATAGGTTAAGGGTCCAGTTCCCAATACTAGGTCCCTGGGATTCAGAACACTTTGTAATTAGTATTGCTAAAACTTCTTTGATCTCTTTGTATTTTGACAACCATTAAATTTTGAACTCAAGCATTGTCTATGTGGCAGTTGAATACAATAAATGTTCTATAGTGAATTTTACTTCAGATTTCACTATATGAGTTTGACCTATGATAATGTATAAAATACTCCCATACTAATTACTAATACTAGAAGAACTCATAAGGAATAAAGTATATACCTTCAAGTGAAAGTATTTTCATATAATCATTTTATTTCCTCACTTCCATTTGGATTTCAGCCATGAACGATATTTGATAAATTCTCTTTCTTCCTAATTCTGTGTTTATTTGACACATGAGGATATGGAAAGCCTGGGAGAATTATTGAAACATCTGAAAAATATCCATCACTTGGCTACCTCTAGGTGACAACTTAGCTCTCTTGATACTTGACCTCGATTTTATTATATAGAGTGATGGAGTTTCTTATTTTCAAGGTAAAATTTCCTTAAAATAACTTGGTAGCCCTGGGAATGGTGCTGAGGCAGTGTGTCAAAGGGCAATGCACACCCCGTAGGACCTGGCAGCAGTGGTTTGCTACAAGCCTCCCAGTTGGCTAATGTGGGCTCTGTCTGTGGCTGCTTAGTCTTGGGAAACCCGGGCAGGAGGAAAGGAAAAAGAGACTGCTCAAGGGTCTCTTTATATTGCTGCAAGTCATTAATATGCAGACCTAATGAGACTTGAGAACTGCCAAGAATCCCCGGAGGTCTCTGCCCCTTGCGGGCCTTCACGCTAAGTGAACAGAGCATCTATTTAGTGTCTGGGATCCTGACAACAAACCAGACCTTGCCAGCAGTTTATATGTGAGTACAAAGTCCCTTTCATTTTTGCCCTATATGTGGTATATGATTTATTGTTATTACTTAAAAACGGTACAGTTAGAACTATGCATTCCTATTTTCCACAAGTTCCTAGTTTAACCCAAGCCTTTTTTTTTTTTTACAACAAAATGTTCTACACAAGAAAACGAAACCTGCTACATGTTACTTTGTATGCAGTTTTTTTCTTTCCCACCCACTCTCTTTTGTGTTTTTCTTTCTTTTTCTTTAAGTAGCACCCAGTTTCTTTGAGCATTTAATCTAGTCACTTAGACATACATAATGAGCCTAATAACCAATGCAAAGGGAGAGGAATGGCGAAACCTCAAGGAAGACTAGATCTGTTATATATTTCTATTACCATGTCTTCATGGTAGCTATTTTATTTCACACAGTATTGCCATTTTGTTAGTGATTCTTTCAAAGAATTTGGGATTTCAGATCCTTTTAAGGACCATTAAAATGCAAAAATGTGTTCTGCAATGCATTTTAAGTAGGCAAGGCAGTTTTTAGTTTTTGTCATCAAAGTGCTGAACTTTTTGCCCCCATATCTAAGTTGTTAAATGTGTAAAAGTGTTATAGAATTACCACTCCATTTATGCAGCTCAGTGGTTACAGGGCAGACACAATATATTGGGCACAATAATTGCTGTTTTGCAGTTTTAAGAAAGCACTTAGAGTGAGAAGTAATTGCACCTTCGTGTTGAATTGATCAGTTTTCATATTCTTAATTTTATACAAAGAAGTATTCAGAGTGTTTTTAATGTAAGAATCTGAATGCATAGAATTAAAATACCTTTTACTAGGTGACTTTTTCAGTTTATACTACTGTTTTGTGTTATAAACGTCTCAGCATGTAGCAGAAATATTTCAGAAATGAAATTTGCTCCAAAAAGAATGTGATTTATTTCTTGGTAAAGATAATTTATGTTGATCTTCCAAATTTACAAAATTAGGTATTTAGGCAAATTTCACTAAACATGTTGGGATAAAATGTAAAATGATCAGAGTAAAAGTGGAAAGATTAAAAATCCAGATTTCTTTCTTTTAGCTTATGTCTCTTGCCAGTGCACAACGTATCTTATTTTGTTTCACCTGTTCAAACTGACTAACTTTTCCTTTACCTCTTCGATTTTTCTATGTTAACTTTTCTCTTTATTTTATACTTATTTATTTGCACACAACATCTATCTATTCTCTCCTGAATTGTTTCCTGGTTCTGTCCTTTATTTTTCTCCTTCCTTCTTCTGCTGTCTAAGCCTTCAGCAGCCTGAAGCCTTCTTCATAGAAAGGCTTGCAGACATGAAGGCAGCTGCAGAGAGTCACATGAGCTTTCTCAGTTGGTCACTGCACCTGGCCCCATGCACAAAATTCCAGGGCTTGACCACTGCTCTGTAGCATTTTGCTTTCTATAACCTTGTCAAGGTGCTTTCCGTTTTTTTCAGTGCACTATTGATGCATCAGTTAGATATGGCAGAGGTCCAGAGAGATGTGGTGAAGGCTTGCATGAGCTATCACAAGAGGAAAAACCGATTAACTGCAGGCAAAAGGATAAAAAGTAGATTTAATAAACATATTTCTGAGCTTCTTTAGTAGGTCAGTATGTTAAAAGATTTATTTTTCTATCTTAGAATAATGATATAGAATATTAGCTATATGATTTTAAACATTAGTAACATAATTGAAGTAAATTTACACAAATCTATTTAGTTGTAAGGAATAGGTCTTTATTAAATGTCTATGATAAATAAATTGCACAAGAGTTATGAATTTATTATAATGCCTTTCTCTTTCAAAAGATATTCTAGAAATTGCCAGCATTGTCTTAGAATATTTTGTTAATATAATTAAAGATATTTTTATTCATAATACATAGTAAACTATTGGATATAAATTTAAGAATTAAAAAAATAGAATTATACATTTTTTAATGCAATAAGTAAAATATATCATGTATTACATTAAAATATTGGGCAGCTACTGCATCTACAACAGCATTTTTAGTTTTCATGAAGTATAAATATCATTTTCTTAATTCTAGTAAAATTCAGATGTTGACCTCAAAAACTTTGCCTTATAAATGTGGGGAATTCATGCCAGTTGGCTACAAAAGTTTGTGTTTCTGATGAACCTATGAGCTACAATCTAATAATGTGAGGAGGCTTATAATTGGAAAAAATGGAAAACAGAAAATACAGAGAGACAATTGAGAGAACTATGAGCAGTTTGGAAGGTTTTGAGAAGGGATAAAACTTTAATGTGCATTTTTATATGTTAAGAAGTAATGATAAATATCTGATCCTGGCATATTCCTAAAAATTATAATCCTCTTATAACTGCAGTTAATATATATGAAATTGGGATGCTTTGAAGAATGGCTGAAATTTTTCTCAATAATGAAATTTGTTTTTATAAATTTGTTTTCTCATATGTACTGAAGGTTTGAATAGAAAGTAATGTCCTAAATTATCAAGAAGAAACACAAATTGGATAAACCTCTAATTTTCTTAATAATAACATTTGTCAGCTGAAATACATTAAAGATACATTTAAGATACATTTATCCAAAGATTTATCCCAATCCATCTTTGTAAAATACTCAGTCTCTCTTATCAGCTGTCATATTGCAGAAAAGTTTATTCCTGAGGACTGGGAAGAAATGACTGGAAATAATGATTGCAGTAAAACTGTATATTTTAAGACCTCTTGCAGGTGTGTCCTCTGTTATTCATGTCTCCATACATAACCTAAGTTTAATCATAAATGCGTTTGAAAGAGAAAATAATGAATTAAACTTATTAAATCTTGAGCTTCCAATTTGAGCCATAAGAACTAGTCAAATGAGTGTGGATGCTCTGAATTGCATCACAGGTAATGGTTTGACATCTTTCTGTGATGTGGTCAGGTTTTCACAAGAAAGTTAAAGGCTCTTCAATGTATTTGGTAATTAAAGTTACACAGGCACTGTGACTGATGATGAATGATAAAAGGACATTGTTAGTCATCTCACAAATCCCCTGTGTGAGGACCCTTAATGGGATGCATTTATTTCATTCTCAAACTATTTATCTAAATGACAAATGAAAAAAGAGTCTATTTTCTATTAATTTCTCTGTTCCTTATTTGAAGTTTATTGATTATGCTGTGGTTTTCATTTTCATTTCTATAACTGATTTTCCTCATGAGAAATAGATCCTCTCATTTTATTGATAAAACTGGTGAAATAATCAGGCCCTAGTTGAGAACGCTCACCTTCCATTTACTTATATACAACGATATATAATATTGCCAAGAAAATTCCGTTCTGTAGGCTCATAAATTACTTTAAAACATTGCTTACGGATTTTCTATTTTGTCAAGTGACACTGTTTTGTTCCAAGCTTTCAATGCTCCTTATGTTTTTGTTAATAACATGCTATGCAAGCTTTTCATCCATTCTCAGTCCATATAATTTTTTTGCATATCATTAGGAAATTTTTGCCGATCTCTAGTAGTTACGAGATATAGAAAAACATCACCAATTTGCAAGATAAAATACACGTACAACTAAATATATGATCAAATGTACAGTTAAATATAAAGCAATTTCTACCACATACTTTCTGGTAACATCAAGATCAATCTTAACACAGGCATATTGGTTTACTAATGAGGTGACAGTAATGTGAATTACAATGAATGCTTGGATAAGAATACATAAAAACTTATAAATGGCTGGGATCTCATATATTTCAGATGCCCTATTTGCCTGATTTAAAATAATATGCATCAATCATATGACGAAAATGTTAATAATTGGAAAACCTTGCATTATAATCTTTTCATAATCAAGTATAAGAATCCTACATTAATATTTTGAACTTAAAGATCCATAATTATTTATTATCTCAGATTTTAAAAATAAATACACATAATCACTTTTTTTGTTAAATAAGACTTATGTGGTACACAACAGCTTTCTTCCTCCCAGCTCTAAAGAAAATAGACAAAATTTAACCACCAGTAGATCGAAATAAAAGTCTTGTTCCTATGCACCATATGAGCTTGTATTAGGGATGTTCTCTTTATTATTTAGCATGCTTATTTTCTTGCAGAAACAGGATATGTCTAGAGTGTAGTGAGATACCTCCAAGATCTCCATTCTATTTCCAGTCAGAGTCTGTAATCACAGCTTCAGTATTTAAACTCCTCAGGCAATTACCCATTAGTAATTTGCTTTCGGGCTTGTGCATGGAAATTATCAGTAGGATATGATAACCAAAGTTGGGTTTAGGATTATACATACATTTCTTTAAAATGAAAGTCATTATTGAGTGTGATTAACATATGGTAATTAACTTGGTGTTGTTTCAAGAAGGAAATGGCCTTCAACTTGAAAAAAAAAAAAGCAGGTAGAAATTGTACAAGTTTCAATATTTGTCTTTTGTAAACATTTTTCAAGTACACTTTCATTTAAATCAGTGTGTAATGCAATAAATCACTTAAAACATTAAAACTTCATTGAAAGCTAGAGATTTCTAGATATTGGTGCAATTAAGACTCAAGTATACTCATTAAATAAATGTTCTGTTAATTGTAAAACCTAAGCTTTTCGTACATTTGAAAGACATTATGATATAAACTAATCATGCTTTAGTTATTTGAAACTAATCAAAATTGTATTTACCAGATGGCTCAGTGGGGAAAGGTCCTTGCCTCTCAACCCAATGAATTGAGTTCCATCCCTACTAACCACATAACACAAGGAGAGAAGTCTGTGACAGTAGTCACATGACCCAACCTCCACACATATGACATAGTATGTACACACACAAAGAAGAAAATGTATATAATTTTAAAACACTAGAGAGGGTTACCAATACTTAAAACAGTCATTAAATGTACTAGCATGCTTAGAAAAGCATTAAAATGATATGTTTGTCTGCGTTCTCTTCTGTGTTGTGCTCTATATTAGGCTGTATGTAGTTCCAGTATTTGGGAATCTGAGGCAGGACAGTTAAGAATTTCAAACTAGCCTAGGGTACTTATCAATTTCTAGGTCAGCTTGAACTATGTAGCAAATCTGTGTCTCAAAATTCAGAACAAATGAAACAAAAAATATTAGATATTATTCCACAGCTCTCAGAAATTCTTGAACTAGTAAGATAACTGAGTCACTCAAGTGCTTGTCTTTGAAGCCTTAGGAGTAGAGATCAAGAACCTAAGTACTAATAGCTGAATTGGGTGTGGTGGCATTTGTAATCCCAGTGCTGGGGAAGTAGAGACAGGCAAAACCTTAGTGCTTTCTGGCCAGACAGCATAGCTTACTAGTCAAAGTCCAGGTCAGTGACAGACTCTATCTCAAAAGAAAACAAACAAAACACAGTTTGTGGCATCTGAGTAATGACATCTCTTAAATGCCCATGCATATACAAGTAGTTTCATGCATGTCTGCACACATTTGCACATGAACACACACACACACACACACACACACACACAATAAATACATACAATTCTTGTACGTGACTCAAGAACTTGATGTACTTTCTTGATCACAATCACATTTAACAGTCTTATCAGTCTAATGAGTGTGATAAAGTTTGTAGCATCACTTTCAATCTTGGTACATAAGTTTGTGTTGACTAGGACAACCATTTACAGTACAAATGAGCACTAAGGAATGTGTCAATATTATCTGTAGTGGATTCCCACTGCATTTGGTTACCTTGGCTACACTAATTATAGTCATTTGTTTTGGTTTCTGCAAGTGGTAAATAATAAGCAATTTATAGGCATATAGACAGACTGAGTTACAGTGACAGATACCTTTTGGAAGTCATTTCTCAGGAAACAAAGTACCATACTCTTCCCTATGTACAAAATGAACACAATTCTCACCATTGGCTGTTTGTCAATTTAGGCTGAATTTCTATTGAATTTTATCTACCATTTGAAATCCAAAGACTGTAGTCTAGGTGTTGTCATAGTTGGCATACCCTCTCTGTGTTTGTAGGAATATCAGTGGATGCACTTAGAGGATGTAGATTAAGAAGCCCCCACAGCTGGGATTTCTTTATCCTATCATCACAGGAGAGATTTTTCAAGTAATCTTTATCCATGTTTCTCGTCTCTTCCCTTTTGCTCTCTATGGTTTTCTTTTCCCAGGTATGGATCTTTTCTCCAACTGCACCGAGGAATGTAAAGCTCTGGGCCACTCAGACCGATGCTGGATGCCTTCATTTGTCCCTTCGGATGGACGCCAGGCTGCAGATTACCGCAGCAACCTGCATGTCCCAGGCATGGACTCAGTTCCAGACACCGAGGTCTTTGAACCTCCAGAAGCGCAGCCTGGAGCAGAGCGGTCCTTCTCCACCTTTGGCAAAGAGAAAGCCCTGCATGGCACCCTGGAGAGGAAGGAGCTGGACGGATTACTGTCTAATACACGAGCGCCTTACAAACCACCATATTTGAGTAAGTATCACACGAAAGCTTACATCAAAGTAGTTCCTCGTAAGAAATAACGGTTCACATTCTTATTGCTGAAAAGTTTGAGTTCTTAGAAATGTTGATGAAAACCATTTTTTAGGTTTAGGCAGAACTCTAAAATGAAAAACTGATACAGTTAGCAGAAAGGTGGGCTCCATGTTAGGGATGTATTTACATCACAAGGGCTTGGCTCTTATGAAAAATATCTTTAGATGTTCTTTATTTCCCTAGAGTGGGGAACCATTGTTTACTTGATTTCTGTGTAACTTAAAGAGATAATAAAAGGCAGAGTCCTTTCTGGAAATGTAAGGAATTCTGGGTATTTAACTGAGGGATTTACACATACCAGACAAGCACTTTACAGCTGAACTATACCCCTTGGCCTAGTCTGTTTCCTGTTGATACTGACTGGTATCATAAGCTAACTGTGGTTTTATCATAATGAAGTTAAACACATTAGACAAAATTTAGAAAATAGGGTAGATAGATGTATAGCCCTCATGTTGAACTTTCACTGGAGATTAGGAGGTTTGCTGGTAAGGGCTCAAGTCCATAATCAGAGCCAGAGATGCTGTGTGACAAAGGGACCAATAATCTGTAGCATCGAGAATACAGTCAATATGACCCTTACTTTAATGCTTTCTCTAAGTGTATTATCTTTCACAGCCATGTGACCAATAAAAATGCTTGGAGTTTCTATGATAGGTTTCATTTTGAGGATCTCGCTAAGAAAATTATCCCATTTATTGTTTGCTCCATGACATCAGCTGCTTTCAGTTAATGGATAAAGATTATTTGTAATTCAGTTCTGAAAGACAGAGGTAAAACCCTTGGCAACTAAATCAAAAATCGAAATCTATCTAGTATTGAAAATTCTATTGCATTCGGTATATTCTTTCATCTTCTAATATCAATAAAATATTCATTGGATCATAAACCAAAAATATAGTTTGAGAAAAATTGGCAATGTATTATTTCCATTGGGCTGATAAGATAGGAAAGATTAAAAATAAACTTGAAGAAAAAAAACCAACCTGAATACATATAAATGTAATATATAACATATTAAGACAATGTAATGCAAATATCACATAAGAAATCTGTTGAAGCATGGGTTCTAATATAGGACAATAAGAGCAGGCACATGTTCAACTGAGGTCTTCCTGAGATTCCTAAAAAGTGGTGACAATAGTGCCCATGTTGTGCATTAAGAAAGATTGTGTTCAGATTCTCAAATTACATAGGAACACTATTGACTTCATGGGATACACTATTTTACTATTGTAGAGCCTGTTAATCATGCCTTTTATGAATCACTGATATATGATTAGCCTTCATTTTTATTTATACTGTACAAAGACATAAGTACATAAATTCTTAAGAATCTAAGATCCAAACCTAGACATATTCAAAATTCTAGCATATTTAAAGAGAGCAAAATTCAAATTTTATAAAGGAGAACTATGATGAGGTCTTCTCAAATTGCATTATAGAGTTGAACTTGTTCTTATAAGTAAAATGTTTCCAAAATAATATGAACAATCCCACCTTGTTTTGTGTAACTTAAGGGATATATTAGAATTTCAATAGGAAAAATCAGAGGATATATGATTCTAAGGAATTGAAATATATACTTTCAAATGAATATTGATTTGTTCTTTAAGGAAATATTGTCAGCTAAATTCACTACACAGACAATGAAATAACAACTCTCCTTTTATAATATTAATGAGCACAATACTTGGCAAATTGCTCTTCTATGTAAAATTGGAATTTGTTACAAATAAGAAAGTAGTTATATAACTATCTAGTTTTTTTTAATAATGACCATAGTAATCATACTTATTAATGAATAACAACACTGTCCCTATTTTAGTGCAAAATTTTCTATTTTGTAAATATCTATTATTCTCATTTAGAAGCCTGAATTCAGGGATCATTGATTTCATGTGTATGGGTGTTAACACAATCAAATAAAAATCTATTATTGCACCTTGTAAATTTAGATTTAGTTGAATATTGATTGAACATGTCTGTTGAATCAAATTAGTCTCTAATTATGTTCTATATACTTCACTATTGATTTAGCCCACTAATACTGTTCTAAATCCTCAGTGTTTGAGTTGAAGTGTGACCCCAAGTGGAAAGTAAACAGAAAATAAACTATTACTATTAGTATTTATAATGTACTTAATTCACCCTAGACTTTTAAGCATGTATGAATTTCTCCCTTTTAAAAAATAACTTAGTGATTTATGTCATGGTAGACTCAATCACCCTTAACGTTTTATATTGACCCAGACTGAATAGACAGAATGAATTTTATTGTTAGTATAATATACAGTATACATTCAGTTATTCCTGATCATCCACAGTCATATGGTGAGATGGTTATACCGTGTCATTTATCATCAGGAATGGAAATATTCTCATCTTCTAAATTAAAAACCACATCCCTCATGTGATTAAAAAAGCTAAAATCTGACACTAATTACTTGCTTTTAATCAGAATGTTTAGATAATTAATGAGGTTGCTGTTTTACTTTTGCTAACTATGTGTGTAGTTTTCTAATGAGTGTAATATACATTTGATGTTTAGGAAAGTAGCTATATATTCAGTAATTTTTTTTAAGTTTCCAAAAATGTCTAGTGAGTAACCACTGTTATTTATATAATCATGATTAGAAAAGAGCAACAGGGACACAAATGTCATTGTCTATGCCAGTAACTTTTGAGTCCGATACCACTGATAGTGGTTTTTTAAAGCTGTTTTAACATTTGGAAAAAAAAAAAAAAAGAAGAAGAAGAAACAAGATGCTTTCGTACAATGAAAATGAAGTTCACTTTGAAGTGGCAATCTAAATCAGTCACATATTCTTTCTTAATGTGTAGAAAAACAACCACAAAGTTCTGCATTATCTGTTTATTAAAATGGAACTTTAAACAGATGGCATCTAGTTGATGACATCTATCAATATCTTCTTAGTCACAAATACTTTCTTACCTGTTTTCTTACTTGTATTACAAAACTATGGACTTCAGACTTGTGCCAAAACTGTAAGTTGGAAACAGATATATTACCTAGATTTACCTGAATCTTTTCACTTCAGTTTAGTTTCACTTTGCATTTTATTAGAGCAATAAAAATCCTAAAACACAAATTTAATGTTTAGCTAAAATTAATAATTGCCTTCACCAATTTAAAATGGGAAGAGACATTCCCTGGAGAGATTAAGAAATGACATTGTACTTTTGTCGTAAGGATTCTTAGGATATGTTTTTAATTATGGACATTTTATTTAAAGAAATTTAATTCTTCAAATGACAAAATCCATTACTTGAAACAAATTGGCTAGTCTCAGAAAATGAGAAACAGAAATAATTTAACCACAGAGACGAGAAGATGAATCAATCAGTGGGTAAATGCTTGCCTTGCAAGCAGGGCAACCTGAGTACAGGATCTCAGTACCTAAATAAAATGTAGGCATGGAAATAACCTTGCAGTGGCGAGGCTGGGACAACCATGTCCCTGTATGGCCAGCTAATCTAGGGGAATTGGTGAGTTTCAGGTTCAGTGAGAGAGACTGTCTCATAAAATAAGGTAGAGAAGTGACCTAGGAAGACACAATGTCAACCTGTACTGATCTGTTCATGCACCAACAAATGCACCTCACAAATATAGGCCCATTCACACTTGCATGTGAGCGTGCATACACACCCATACTCTCTAAAAACTTAGCTTGAGGAATGCAGTTGTATAGAAAAAAAAAGCGTTACTTATATGATTGACAAAACCTGAATAATTAAAATACGTATTTTACTCCTGAGTAAATACCTAAATTACTCCTGAGTATATTTTAATGTTAAACTTTTCCTTAAGATTTTTTTCAGTGACTCAATGTGGTCCAAATTAGGCAGCATAAGCAATGCAGTAATAAATGCACGAGAATACACAAGAAAAATTTCCTGATGATTTTATTATTTTCTCTTAGATATGTTTATTTACATATTCTCTTATTTATCATGTATTTGTGATATAGAGTTTTTACATGTTTATCATATTGAATGAAGTAATAAAACTTCACTGATATGATATTTTTGAAAACTTCTTAAAACCATGGAGTTTTCTAGGTTAGAGGAAACCACTTACTGAAACATACCATGGCCAATTGGTATGTTATGTTAGAAGCATCTATACTAATGCTTACTTAGTAAAAGACTACCTGTCCCACACTGTTATTATCAGCTTGTGAACTCTTTTAAAATTTTGCAGCTTACTGAGACCACAATGAAAAAGTAAAATTTTACAATATTGCACCTAAATTAGTTCTGACAGTTTACCTAGATCTCTTTTTACTAAATCCAATTTTGGTATAAAGATCATTTTGGCATCTGCTTTTTGAGCACTTCCAGCCTTGAGCTGATGGAAGTGAGGAACATTCTTTGTTTAGTAACATATCTCCCAATGTCTTCATTATCTCAGTGTGCCTTCTGTGAGTTTTCATAATTTGCTGAACTCAATAGTGTGTTAAGAGTATATACAGAATTCAAAAGAAAATGACTTTTCTTACTGATACTCATCACAAGCATAATTTTATCACTCCTTGTGTCTATTCCCCTAATACCATAAGGGTAGCAGTACATTCAATGATAAATCTACAAAGTAAGTGTTTTTTATCAAAGTATTTTTAAAAAGCATATCTGTCATATAGTTACAGCCATCAGTACAAGAAGAAAACCCTTTAACAGTTTTTCTTTTCAGCAAAATAGATGTTTTTATGTTCACTTTGCTTCACACTCTGTTACATGTTAATCAAATGTTCCTGAGAGCTCTGTTGGGGATTTCTTGTTTTTCTTTCTTAACACCCATATCCATGAGCCTAATTTACTTTAATTTCTACTTTATCCCTTTTTTGTCAAATCCCCAGTCACCTCATCCTAATGGTGCTATTTTTCTGTTAACTTCCATGACCCCAGATTTATGAAGAATCTCGTGTAAACAAATGGTTTACTCACTTCTACAGTAAACTAATGATACAAAATAATCAGTAGCAAAGCTCATCTGTTTGTCTACTGTTAGTATTGGGTATTCATCTAATGCCATTAGTCCACATATCTACAAAACATTAATCTATTCCTTGTCTCTGTCAGTACTGCATTCAACTGAAGACAGAGCTGCCTGGTTCCTCCCTATTTTTCTAGGGTCATGAGACAACTGGGTGTTACCATGATTTTTAGTCTCTTGCTTCTGGTGTATCTTAACTAATAGGATTGAAAGTTATGAAAACTCGTCTGAGAGGCAGCCGTGTATCAGAGTTTCATTTGATATGCACACATTTGCCACTGCTGATGATTTCCTACTCAGGAATTATGCTTCTGCATAGTCAACCTCATGTCATCATATACTTTTACATCCAGATGTCAAACTAGTATCGATCCAAGTCTGCGCTAATCCCTTTGCTAAAGAACTCTTATAGTTCTTTGGTCAATGTTCTTGCCTTCTTTCTAACTCTTCAATTTTAAAAGTGCCATTTAAATATTGCTTTAAATTCAGTTGACCTGCTTTTGATTATCTTATTACTGGTTTACACAAACTATCATATGTTGAGAACAAACTTCTTTGATAATTATTAAAGATATGTATAATTTGCCAGCAATTACAAATGTTGCTAAAATTTGCTTCTGTCTTATAACTTTTTCTCTGGTACAATTACTCTCTTCAAACACCCAGACCTACCAAGCAATGTATATAGTATATGTTAAACCACTTATGAACAGTGAAGAATAGCTATTTATTAAGCATATTCATTTTATATAAAGCTATCATCATTCATTCATTCATATATATGGGCATTAACACAATTTCTGTACTTTTCAGAGCAAACATTTGCTTTCATACCGTAAAATTGTAAATTAGTTTGATCCCTTATTTAGAAATTATATGTAGGGATTTTAGAGGGCAGTAGAATTTGAACTTATTCTAAATATTGAATATACTTACTCATGATTTTTAAATTATAATCTATTTTTCAACATTTTCAGAATTTAAACATATTTTGATTTGTTCTTGTAGCACATTATATCCTAATAATGATTCATAACTCTTGACACTGGATATTAATTAATCACTCCCATTTCTTACCTTCACTGTGAGACATTCCTTCAGCTTCTTATTTATTGACTACCTCATATATTATCATCCATCTTTCACTTTTCCCTAAAGCTAATAAGTACACAAGTTCTTCTAAATTTAGCCATCTTTTTCTTTATTTAACTTCTGTATGAACACTGTTTATTCAAACCATTTATAATTATAAAACAATTAATTAAAATTTCATTTAAGAATGAATAGAAAGAGAAGGGAACTGATAAAATTACCTAGTTATTTACATAATTCTTTTGCTGGGAGACTTTGTATAACCAAGGGAAATTTATTTCCTGCACACTTTCATTTTTAGCATATTAACATTTTTGTGTACTTCATTTTATATTACAGATCATTTCCACCCTCTTTCTTGTTTTGCACATTGGAAGTAAACCCATTTATACATTTGTCCATCATAAGAGTCTAACAAAAGAAGATAATCAATTAAAATCTAAGTAGAATTATTCAATGGAAAAGGAACGCCTACATATGGAATTATCTTTTCCTTCTTCATCATACTGAGGATTTCTGAATCAACATATGAATACTTTAAGTTATAAATATTCTGTAGATAATCCTGGAATATGCAAATTGATTTGCCTATAAATATCATTAAACAATATTTAATACACAGTGTCCTAGACTCTTCTTGGCTGAGTGTGTCTTCTAAACTCCTTTTTTTGGGAGTTAAAGTCATTTAGATAATATAACTTGTAAATGGTATAAGATTGTTTTATTGGTTGTTTAAGATTAAATAATTTTACAAAACTGGGCCTTATAGGGAAGAACAACAATTTACTACTTAACATTCTGAGGCAGGAGGTTCATTGCCAATCTGGTGAGTAGAGAGAACTGAAACATAGCCTGAGAGACTTATAAAGACAGTGTCTTAAAAAAGAAATTACTTAAAAAAGAAATTACTTAAAAAAGAAATTAAAAGAGGGTGTGGTGTGGTGCTCAGGAGTGAGAAAGTCATCTAAAATTTGCAGAAGTACTTAATGGGCTTAGTATAATAAAAATAGTTATATAGATAATTAGATAAATACATAAATACTAGTGAATAAAAACTATAGTCAGCCTCATCTATGCTGGTGCTATGTAGAGAATAAAAAAGTACTTGAAGTTTGAGGTGCCCTGAGACTTCCTAATCACTACAAAGAACAATCTAGGTCATATCAGCTGGATAGTATATAGAGTTCTAAAAGCACTTAATCTCAGAATATTATCATTTGTAAGTGACATGGATGGGAACAACTTGTTACCAAGAAAAACTTGAATTAAAAAAATTGAGTTTTATCTCTGATTCTAGAGTCAATCCATAGTATAATATTCATTACATATACTATGTGTTACACAGAAGTATGCTTATTGTATGCTTTATTTCAGAAACACACTTTAACAATATGCAAAGAGACATTAAGGATCATAATTATGATTAAGTTTCAGTGTCTCTTCAATGGAGTGCTATTCAAAAGTGATCAAAATGATCAATTATAGTTTTAAGTCACTGAGCTCAAGTGAGCATAAATATATTTATATCTTCTATCTTCATAACTAAGCTACATGGATACATCCTTTTTTTTTTTTTCTGGTGTTTTGAGACAGAGTTTCTCTGTATTGTTTTGGAGCCTGTCCCGAAACTTGCTCTGTAGACCAGGCTGGCCTCAAAACTCAGAGATCCACTGGCCTCCTCAGTGCTGGGATTAAAAGTTGCGCCACCAACGCCTGGCTTCACATCCATATTTATACACTCAGGTGCAAGCATTATATACCAACATTATACACTCAACAGAAGTATTGTACTTTATAAAATTTTAGTTTTTCATTATTTCCATCAGTTATCAGAGGTAGAACTGACTAGGGTCATGCTTGACAGAGGAATACATTTGATCATTTCCTCTCTCATTTGCTGCCACTGACAGGACAAATTGCTTGTTAATACACTGACAGGTGATGCAAACAGTTTTAGTTTATACATTTGCTTTTTGGGGTTAGCCTTTTTCTTGTTAAGCAACAGTTCCTAAAGCTCAATAATAACAACAAGTTAACTATGACAGTATAGGCAAATTGCATTTCTGGTTTAAGTGCAATGTGTTGCAACAAGGATGTTAGTTATCAGTGCTAGAAAAAAAATGTAATTAGTATAGCATTTCCTTCTTTTAATATTAATATTTGTCATAATTATACACTACTTTGTCCCCCCTTGTATGAGTACTTGATTATTACATGCTTTTAACACACTAGAAAGTTGATTTCAAGCCAGGCATTGGTGGCACACACCTTTAATCCCAGATCTCAAGAGGCAGAGGCAGGCAGATCCCTGTGAGTGTTAGGCTAGCCAGGACAGGCTTCAAAGCAATGCAGAAAAACTCTCTTGGGGGGGGAAGGAAATTTGAATTCAGTTTATCAGGAACATTTTTTTAAGTTTCATATATATATGTCAATGACAATATTTGCAATGAAAATTATTAGGTACTACCATATTCTTTTATTTTATGATAATATTTTTATTTAAATTTGAAACAAGCTTGTTTTACATGTCAAACTCAGTTCCCTCAGGCTTCACTCCTTCCATGACCCACTCCCAACCCCTATCCCATCTCCTTTCTGCTCACCAGGGAGGGCGAGTCCTTCCATGGGGCATCTTTAAAGTCTGTCTTGTCATTTGGAGCAGGGGCTAGGCCCTCCCTGGTGTGTCTAGGCTGAGAGAGTATCCCTGTATGTGGAATGGGCTCTCAAAGTCCATTTGTATACTAGGGATAAATACTGATACACTACCAGAGGCCCCATGGACTGCCCAGTCTTCCTAACTATGACCAGTGTTCAGGGAGTCTGGGTCAGTCCTATGCTGGTTTCCCAGCTATCAGTCTCGGGTCCAGGAGCTCCCTTTTGTTAAGGTCATCTGTTTCTGAGTTTCTCCAGCCTGGTCTTGACCCCTTTGCTCATCACTCCTCCCTCTTTGCAATTGGATTCCAGGAGTTTGGCTCAGTGTTTAGCTGTGGATGTCTGCTTCTGCTTCTCCTTCCATCAGTTACTAGATAAAGGCTCTAGGATGGCATCTAGGTAGTCATCAATCTCATTGTCAGGAAAGGGCACTTAAGATTGCTTTTCCAATATTGCTTAGATTATTAGTTGGGATCATCCTTGTTGATCTCTGGACATTTCCCTAGTGCCATGTTTCCCTCTGGGTGACACCAGAGAGGCCGGGCTTGGTACTGTATTCTACAAAAGTGTATTTATGAGGCAAGGTATTACTATGTAGCTGGGGCTGGAGTCTAACTCATGGTCCTTCCACCTCAGTATTCTTAAATTGGATTCAAAACCCTGTGTTTTCAGGCAAGGTGCTAAGATAGAATCTATAAAATAGTTTTGTTTTGTTTTTTTTACACAAGGCCTTGAAAGACAGCTCATGTTGACCTAACTCAGAAACACAAATAAACCCTTCATTGTGAAAAATTAATTTTATGATTATTTTGTCATAATATGTATGTACATAAGCAATGTATAATAGGTGATATCAATTGCAGATATGTTTTTTATTTTAATTTTTTCATATAGAAATGGTCATAGCACCCTGATTCCTTTCTTATCTCTAATTAAAGATGTAGTAGGTTGCTTTTTGAAGAGCAACATGTCACAAGGCCATTAGTTAACTGTGACATCAGTAACTGAGGACATATTACAAAGACATCCTGATGGTATAGGCTTAGTTGATTTTGTAAGCTAAATGTGTTTCACTGGAAGGGTTGTAGGAGATGGTCCATAAATATGACAAATAGTGTAGTAGTCTGTTATCTACTGTACATTTTAAGCATAGAAAATTTGTATATAAAACTGTAAGGTGATCTGAAATTCATATTACATATAAATTATACATCAAATGATAATGTTCAAGATGAGCATAAGTATTTATCTGTTACTAATTTACTTCAGTCTTTCTAGTGAAACCAATGCTCATAAACTATATTGTATAACAGATATTGGCTCCCATTAAGTTATATTTTACATATCTTCAGTCATAAAAATTGAGAGAGAAATTTTATACCGAATGTTCTGCTATCAAATCTTGACTGAATTTGTTTTACCCAAAATCAAATATACTTTTCTTGTCATTCTAACATTTAAAAATAAATCCAGAAATCATGTTGTATAATTCATATTTAATCATGATTTTATAAAAGAGATAGTTTTCTTTTAATTCAAAACCAAGATTAAGAAATATATTTGCCCTGAAAATTAGGTACTATTTTAGTCTATAACAATATATTTATAAGTGGTTTTTACATACTCTATCCTTTAAAATAGTACCTTTTGTTACCGTTGATTTTGTAGTTGTTGGTCAAATTTCCATTAGTCACCTAAACATTATGTTTACAAGTAATTTATTTAATTTTTTTCATTTAAATATTCATTAAAGTTAGGAAACATTTTAAGATTTTAATCAAGTATTCTGTACATAAAAAGATCTAAAAATTCATGCATACATTACATAAGATATATTCTCAATCTTCACTGAATGTATTCAGTGCCCCAAACATCTCTTTGTATTATGTCCATATTTCAAAGCATTGGAAGTATTCCAAAGCCTTTCCAAGTGCCGACCATACCATGTTTAGATGTCATGCTATAACCAATGATTATTCTATTTGTATTTTAAAGCTTCTATTATTGAAATAAATGAACTGTGAAATTCTATTAAAATGTCATTGTCTTGATAATATTGGAAAATTCATGAGCAAGCCTTATTATCTACTAATGTATATAGAAAAGAAAAATTTAGTGAGCGGGTGCTTTGAATATATTGTATATTGTAGCTATCTGTATGTTTAGTCTATCAGAAATGCTTCATTCTTATCTTTGTATATTTTTCTGGACTAAGCATAATATACTGTTGATTTTATAGAGGCTAATACATAAATTTAAATGTCAGATTGTAATAAAAGAGAAGTAAAATCAAGATCTAGAACTTTATAAGTCTTTGAGGCCCAAGGAGAGAATTATCACAATTTGTGATAATGTTTAAAGGAAATTTACAATGAAGAAATGAACATGATGACAATCAACACATTTAAATAGAACTTTTAAAAACTTGGTGAATGGCAGATTGAGAAGAAAAGAGAAGCAATGCCATCATAAATCTACAGAGAAAAGACACTAATCAGTTCCTCCATCTTTTAGAGGACAGAGACGAAAAGAAAGCATTTAGCCTCTTGAAGAGCGAAAGTAAAGAACTGTAGGAAATGCCCTGACCAGTACACTGGTGTTTGGTCCCAAGGGTGGGAGAAACAGCTCACACACAAAGCTTACAAACTACAGACATATGTAGATGCCATCTGTGATTTGACAGAATCTCACTTTCTAGCCCCCTGATGTTGCTTTTTCTCACAGAATTTATTCTCAGAGTCCACCAAGGAATGGAAAAGGTTCAGATGTCCAGAGGAGAAGTTTTGAGGAAACTTAATTTAGTCTTCCCCCTGTTTTTTTCTGTGCTACTGTGGTTGACTTCTTAGATTTCTTTCTTCAGTATTTTAAAGAAGGAAGAATTGAGTTTCTTGAGGCTCCTTTTTTCTTTCTCACATGATGATATATGATAGACAATAAGACATCAAGAAAAACAAAGAAAAGCATTATAA